CATGACTGCAAAGGTCCTTGCATAGACCTAAAGGCAGATGTGTGCAGCAGAACCAGCAGGAGCCCGCTAAGTCATTCTTTTGGTGATGCAAGACCAGGGGCTAGGTTAGAAGTGCCCTGCCACCAGAAGCAAAGCAAAAGAAATTTGATCCTGCTTGAACTTAAATCGAGCGTATGCCAGTATGCTACTGCAACCTGGCAACGCACACGTGTTCCGGGTTCGAGGTGGGTTTTTCCCCGCGGGCCGTTTGCGTGTGGCGGCAAGACGCGCTTTATGTTTCCGGTGTTACCAGATCTTTCAGATTTGCCCAGTGATACCGATTTGTGACATTCAAATTTTGCATGATTGATGGTCCAGGATGGCTCTTGAACACTTGCTTCGAGTTGGTGTGTAAAGATTGCCTCCCAGGTTTCAAATCATGCGTACAAAAGATTCAATCAACTAATTACTGAGTACTGCGTGAAGTAAGCATTCTTCGCGCAGCAGTGTAAGATAGTACGCTACACCCACACTGCCCCTGCCCTTGAGATTGAAGTAAATGCTGCAACAAGGAAGCCTGACATTCTGTTGCCGACCCTGTTGTCATTGCTTATCGAAGACATGACTTAGTGGCAACATGCACATTCAATTCTTATTTCGGCATCAGTTGCATGCCGAGATCTGTAGCTCCGGCTTGAGCAAACCTCACTCTGAAAGTGCTTTCAGAAAGCTTTTCGTGCATTCAGTATTCTACTTTGCTGTGAACAAGCCTCCCTCACGCATGCACCATGCGTCGCGCATACGTTGCAGTATGTGAAGGTGCAATGTTGGGAAGACGTCTAAAGTGATAAAGGAGCGCTCCGCAACAAAAGATATTCTCACAGACATGCTTTAGTCGCCAAAACTGTTTTTTTGTCCACTTGGAAGGTTGCTTTTTCAAATCTTTTTCAATATCAGGGTAAAGCTGTCAGCAGGACCTTGCCTTGCAAGCTCAGCTAAGCTTAGCAAGAATACATGTTGAGTATTTCAGCTCTTTGATTTGTTACAACAATGTCTTGCTCCCTCCAGGTTTGTGCCTCAGAGCTTGAGCGGTTGAATATGTGATTTTTGAAAAGCGGCTGACTAAGGTACGAAAAGCTTTGCGTCTTTCTTGAAGGTATGTTTTAGTCGCAAGTACAAGCTTTCCTGACGTTCAGGCTGTTGACCTCAGTTGACAAGCCAGAGGTGGCAAAAAGCAGTTTGAGATGTTTGAGGAAGGCAGCGTCGAGACATCCATCGCAGCTGAAATGAGAAAGGCCGTCCTGGGACGTGCCATAGCAGCTGCCGGAAGTTTGCAAGCACCTCACTTGGATGGCTGGGATTAAAGATCTTTATGAACACGTGATCTCTTGCCTTGTCATCCTTTCTCCCACCAGCGACCGAGGGGTAAGACATCTAGCCAAAGAAATCAGAGAAATGGCTCGAGCTGCCTAAAGCCCCGGACCCTGACGGGACCAGCCGCCCAGGCTCTCGGTACTTGTGTCACCTAAAGCGCCGTCGCACGGCATCGGTGCTTTCAGCAGCGATAGCGTGGAGCAAGCAATAGCGGTGTGTGAGGAAACCCAAAGATCAAGACCAAACCGGAAAAGGGTTTGCTTGCTTGCCTGATCACCCTGGAGCCGGGGTGATAGCCCCTGCGGGGTACGGGTAGTCTTAGTGAAGAGTCACTTCCTGACTCAATCCCTGACTTCCGTGTTTGCGCGCGGAAAGAAGGAGCGACTTGTGCCGTGGGATGCTGCTTGAGGTTTGACAGATCCACAAAAAACATCTGGTCATCGTGCAGTTTCCTTCGCAAAGAAAATATAAAACAGAAACTTGAATCTGTGGTCCTTCGGGAAAGCTCGTTTTGATCTGACCGTTTTTTGGTAAAGTACGTTCCGAACACCGGAGGAGGTCCAAAAACGGCCCTAGAGTGTGTTCAAGTGTGTGTGTGTGTGTGTTCATGTGTTTTCTTCATGCGATCCCAATTCTGCAGATAATCTGAGGCTCTCTAATCTGCATCACGACTTGCATGGTCGAGAAAATCCGATTGAACATGCCTCGTTCATGTTCATGTGTTGGCTCTTCTTCCCGTTCCCTTTCTTATTGTTTGCTCCTTGTTGTACGGAAGCTGAGTCTGACTTGCTTCTTTTGATTTACTGTAGGCTGTAGGGGAGTGTACACTTGGGTGGGAGTGTAAAGATCAAAAATGGCTCAAATGGCTCAAATGTGAGCTGCAACAGGGCTAGGGTTGGGTAGAAATTGAGTGCAGTGCCCCTTTTGATTTCTCCCACCCACCCGTACTTTTTGGTTTGTTTGTTTGGCCCAAGTGTCTGGGATGGATCTGGCAGCAGGGCGCTTGACTTCTATCTCGACTTGAACATGTTAAGAGAGGGCGATGACGTGATTCTTCTTTACTTTGTTCCTGTTGGTATGGAACTTGGGGAACACCTCCTAGGACAATTCTTGTACGTGCTGCTGGTTTCCTCTCCTCCTCATTTTTGTTCTTTATTTGGCTCTTGTTGTTGAACACTCTTTTCTACTTATAAATTATAAGTTATGCTTTTGAGATAGAAGTTTGTCCGCAGCTGAACTCCAGATGGTTGTGAAGTGAGTTCCTGCATGAGAAAAACGTTCATGGCACCCGTTGCGAAATGACATCAAGTTTGGGGAGCAGCTCTAGAAATCAAATGTTGATCTTCATCCGATTTTATCCATCTGGATTGAGAGGATTGGTATCATCTCTTGGTGCAAGTTGTGGCAAGATTTTTATGTGTTGCTTTCATGGCGTTGCAAGTTGGTGGAGAAACCAGTATAAAGGGTATTAGCCTCTGACTTCCTTGATTGGAGAGAGTTTGGAATTATTGCAGTCTTCAACATCAGATCACAGCAGCTTACAGGATGAACACAAAACGACGGGGTTTTCAGAAATATATAGGGGTGCCTCAGTTCACGGACAATATCTTTTGATCATGTGCTCTGGATGGCCCGCAAGCGCTTGATGTACTGGAGGCTCAGTCATCTGGAAATGCTCAGAGGAGAGCCGATGCAGCACCTTAATATACCGAGGTGAAAGTGCTTCTGGAAGCCTATGACCTTGGAGGCAAGGTTGCTTTGGCTCACATTGACCTCTAAACACATAGAGTTCTAGAAAAGTTGCTCAAACTGTTTTGTGTGTGTGTTGTTGTGCACTGTTTAAAGCAAGTTTCCTTCAGCTTCGCTGCTCGGCAGATATCCATCTCCGATTTTGGTCCGAAGGTAAATGTGGTGGTTATTTCTTCATCGGCTTTGCCGCATGCTGCACTGATCGGCTTCCATGGCGGTCGGCTTTGCCAATGCATTGGCCGCTCCGAGATGAAGCTGACAGCACCGAGCGATTTCGATTGATCTCCGACAAAGCTTTGACCGCCTACATCAACAAATTCGGCCGCAGGCTTGGATCAGATTGCTGTCTCCCTTCTGTAATTATCTGAGGGTGGGTAAGTGTGGTCCCGTATTTTCTGGACATCGATAACATGCATATTTGATAAAACCTCAAAGTGATATCATCGTGATAAGCACCCCTGGTGTCTTCGGACAAGGGGCGACCTCTAAGAGACTCACCTTTGCATTAGTTCTTTGGGGGCACGAATTTTGTGCCAATCGCCAGAGGTCGGATGACGAGGGTTGATGTGCTCAGGCCGAAGATGGGAAGAGGTTGCCTGGTTGATGAAGATGCCATGCCATGATGTGGTCTGGATCTGAGAGAGAAAAGAGGGAATGAGGGAATGACATGAAGCCATGAGTTTTTCAATGTTTTTCAACCCCCAGAGCCAACCCATTTTTTCCGTTACTCCTGTGTGAAGACCTTGCCTTCAAACTCTTTCCCAACCTATTCTTCAAGGAAGCAAGGTCGGCAGAAACGGGTTACCTGACGTGACAGGTACGCCCTTGCGATCTGGGAGAAGGATTTGGTCCTGTCGCAGCACGTGGCAGAAACACGGCTGCGCATGTTGGGTGCTCCACAGTATTTGGCCTGTAGGGAGGATCTTGAGCGTTGCAGTGGGACTTTCACGTGCTCGTTTGGAATCATTCGAATCCGCAGCTGTTGCTAGCAGCAAAGCAATCACACGGGGGCAAAGCGAAAACAAAAGAATCGGCACACCGATGTTACGGGATCTTCAACCATCGCTACTGCAAGCGGTTCCGCTGCACCTCCCATTGCCATCGGTGAGTCGCTCCGACCTCGCCAGCTCGACCTCGACCCACGCTGACGACCGGGCGAAAGAATCGCCCCATGCCGGGGCGCTATCCGCCCTCCACAGGAGCCCCGGGGTCGGCGCCGAAGTCTCGTGTCGGGACGGCAGACCGTGCCGTCGCAAGCGGCGAATCCCTGCGGTTCGAAGCTGTGGATGCTCGGTGTGAGGACTCCAAAGTGCAAGCCGCACAATCAGCGCGTGGCCCTGAGCGTTCGGAAGTTTTGGTCCGACATCGCCTTGCTGGGTCCAAAAGTGGACTTGTACTGTATCTCCTGGCCAAGCACCCGGGCAATTACATGGAGTTCATCTCAACTTTGCATCTCATGGTGTGGCTCCGTTTCCTTCTTGCAAGGTCCAGGCGGAAGAAACCATAAGAAACCTCATGATTGCTAATGACATTCAGAATGAGTTGTGGTGTTGATGTTTCAACTCGGCTTCAAATGAGAGGATGTTGAGTGAAGTCATGCGCCACTGCGCGCAAGCTGCACGTATGGACTGAGGGCAATGGAACCTCCTGCGGAAGCAGGCAGCCTAGACCTACTAGACCCAATCAGCCATGAGGCAGCATTGGTTGAGAAATGATGGCTCTGAAGGAACACTAGCTGACCAAACCTAAGCGCAGCATGAACCGCACCAGGCAAACATGTTCTCTTCACCTCTCACCAGTCCTCAGGTTGCAGCAAAGAAGAAGCCTTGTCCTTCCTAGCCCTGGCACCAGGCAAGGTAATTAGTTCAGAGATGTTCAGAGGTTGTGTTGTGCCCATCTCTTTCAATCTGTTGTTGCGTGAAACAAACATAATACTATGAAGAAAAGCTTGGCTTCCAGTCTCGGGCAAGAATGCAAGCGATGAGGACTGCTTCAGACTGTGGTGCATCGATATTCAACCCGCGTGGACTTACCGCATGCCGAAGGTCATTCCATAAATTGCATTAAATGTCCATAATAGCAATGGCCTCCGACCTAAGAAAAGCAAACATGAGCGTTATGGGAGTTGAATGGATTATCATCGATGTTCTCCTCGAGGAGTACATCTCAAGCTTCGATGGTGGCATTAAATGCAGATCCCAGGACCTGAGACGAACATAAGGAACTTATAAGGACCTTATAAGGACCTTATAAGGACCTGAGGAACCGGATAAGGATCTGGATAAGGACCGAGAAACGATTCAACATATTTCAAGATGACTCATCTCAATCTCAAGACATCTGAAGACATGATATCTCAAGTGTTCTTCTCTTTCTTTTGGTGATGTCTTTAATTCAGATCTCAGGACCTGTGTAGTTCCTTCAGACCAGCACACTCACAGCTCCTTGTGACTGCTGACTGCCTAGGAGAAGGAAAGCTTGCGTGGATCGAAAGGATTGAAAGGTGAACCATTTGTGATCCCTCCTTTCATCCAACCACGGCGGCAGTGTTCGATGTTTCCTTTGACACTCGGACGATCACGACACCGAGCGTCAAGCGCCAAAACTCAAAACGCGCCGAGCGAGGGGGGCATGGGCGGGATGCGAAAAACGGGCGGTTGGAAGGATTTAGGTGCTTCAGATACATTCCCTGGAACTAGGTTGGAGGCCATCGCTGGTTGGAGGCCATTGCTCTTAGGTTGGAGGCCATCGCTCTCAGGTTGGAGGCCATTGCTCTTAGGTTGGAGGCTATTGCTGGGGGGTGTACTTCAGATACATTCCCTGGAACTAATGTGGAAGTCCAAAAATTGTCGTTTGTGGAAGATGGTCTTCCAAGGGGCCAGAACTTCCACCTCCAGAGAGTGATCGAGAGTGTATACTGATGTATACTGTATGTATTTGTTTCCCGAAAACAACACCTCGAAATGCTCAGGAGTTGCTGGAAGCATGGCAGAAACTCTTCACCGTGAGCCGAGATGTCTCTTGGAGTCGCACCGAGTGATGGCCATCGGCGTTTCCGAGTGAAGAGCTGCTCTTCTCGCTGCTCAGTTTGTAGACTTGGAGTGGGTCGGCAGGTGGCCGAAAAGAACTGCTGAACATTTGCAAGAACTACTGCGTTCGTTTTTGTGGGTGTTTGCAAGGCTTGAAGTTCAGCTTGCAAAACCGCTTTTTTGTGCGCACGTATGACAGTGACTTGTGTGACTTGATAGCTCATGATGGGCCCTGAATCATTGAATGCCATGAAGAACACCAGTGATTTGATGTAGGGTACTACATATTTAAGGTACCTAATGATCCTAAATGATCCTAAACGTACCTGAGCTTGCTGTCAGAACGGACATAAAGTGAGTTTATAATTTATGAGCTTCATGCACTCACTTCAGAAATTCTTTAAAGAAATGCCATGACGGACGAGTTCGGTGTCGACATTCCCTGTGGCTGCCTGGAGCCATGTAGCTCGGAGCCTTGATCACTGATGCTTCAGGCCCACTGTAGTTGCCTGATCCATTAGCAATGGCCTCCAACCTAATAGCGGTGGCGTGCCTCCAACCTAGACTATGTGGGTGCTTGATGTTGCTTGATCTACTTTTCGTCAACTTTTGGTCTTCAGTTTCAGCACCGCGGTATGGCTGAGACCTGTGTCAATGACATTTTTGACCTGAGAAGCTCTGCATGCTGCGCCGTTCAGGCTGAAATGCAGGTCGAGAAAAGAGACCCTGAGGTGCAATGCGTGCAATCGTGGTGTTCCTTTCATTTTAGCCGTTGGAATTGTTTTTGATCTTTCATGGGAAGAGAAGTTGGTATTCCGCAGGTGCCTTGCCTCACAGCAGGATTGCCCACACCCGATTCGGTGGCCGCACAGAAGGAGCACGGGCCACAGGGCAAAGAAAGGCGTTTCCAGCCCGGAAAGGAGAGGAAAGAAGATCTGGATCTTAGACACGTCACATGGAGAGTTTGTTCTTCATGTGGTCGTAATGTAATAAAGCGATATCTACAAAGCATCAGTGCTCTCAGTGCTCTCCATTTGGAAGTAAATTGTCAGATTTGGCAGAATCGATTTGGGTCGTAGACTCACACTTGGCTCACATCTTCTTGCTGTAAGCATTGAAGTTCGGCCTCTCAGTTGCAAAGAATGCTCCTAGTAGTGATGCCAGGAGCCCCTAGTAGCTCCTCGTTCCTAGTAGTAAGGCCAGGAGCCCCTAGTAGCGATGCCAGGAGCCCCGTTCGTAGCTTCCTTGCTCCTTTAGTAGCGCTGCCAGGAGCCCCTAGTATAGCTTCTTGTTACTAGTAGCTCCTTGCTGGCTCCTAGTAGTACGGCCAGGAGCCCCTAGTAGCGTTCTTGCTCCTAGTAGCGATGCCCTTCGCTCCTAGTAGCGTTCTAGGAGGTGCATGCCAGACGCCTGGAACGAGAGCTGCGAGATGCGGTAGATGAGCTCGCCAAAGAGCACCGCACCCTGACGGAGCACCGCGGGAGTGGCGGCTGGGGAGTCGGGGACCACCAGTCACCGAGTGAAGCACGGGAACGCATGTCCTTTGATTTCAGGAACGCTTGGAACACATGTTCAATTGAAGGTATACTATGGTATAGAAAGGTCAAGTTCCTTTCAAACAGGCCTTCTTCACTGTATTTTCCATGTTTGGGTCGGAGCTCAAGCCACTGATTTGAATGTTTTGTCACTAGTCATTACCGGATCCCTTGCGTCGCCTTGGTTGAAAAGCGAGGTGGAGTAGTAGGTCACGAAGATGCTTTGCGCCCAGACATCCTGGTACAAGAGCGAGAACGACCTGAGACCTAATAGATTTTGTAAAAGTTGCTTCCAAAAGAAGCAAACTGAGAAGCAAGCTGAGTCAGGCACAGTTTGCAGATGTTTTGCAGAGTGCCGCGTGAAATGGAAGCCAAGATAAGTCAAGCAGTTGCGTGTCACTGAATAGCGATGGCTTCCTACCTAATAATGCTAATAGGAATGGCCTCCAACCCAATAGCGATGGCCTCCAACCTACTTGCCATGGCCTTCAACCTAAGATTTAATGTAGTTTTATAATGTCTTGTCATGCGCTTCTGGATTCTCTCTCCACAGTGCAAGAGGAATCACTTCGACTCAACTCTTTCGCCCCGTCGCCTCATGGCTGGGCCGTAGGCTGAAGACCTTTTTTTTCCTGAGAAGGGTATAGCAGGGTACATGAGTGGGTACGTTATATTCACAGCATTTCTGGGACTGGTCACCTGGTGATCATGTCTTTGTTCTTTTATGCACTTTGCTTTGTTTGTGTGTATGCAATGTTGATGGAACCTGTCGAAGTGGGGCTCTCTGCAGTGCCAGGACAATCTCCACGCGAATGCCAATCACCAACGATCCCAGCCGTAGACTCAGCATAAAAACAGGCCTGAACAATTGGACTTGCCGAGTGGCCCACCAAACGCAACGGGTCCTTTTTTCGTGGAGTTTCCATGAAAAGGAAGGAAGTCGCAATGGTGCGGAAATAGATGAATAGGATCGTCCAGTGTTGCAAATGCTTTCATTTATATCATGACAAATACTGCATTGAACGTGGGCACTGTGTCGAGATCTTATATGTCTTTGACACAAGGTACCAGCTGGCTTTGGCACGGATGGTGGCTGGCTAAGTCTGTAAAACTTGCTGTGCACTCAGCGAGTCCTTGAACCCACAGGTGAAAGAGCAAGAGACAACAATGCGGAAAGAGCGAGCTGCCAAGAGTTGTGTTGATTGATTTCATCTAGCTTGAGAGTTAAGCAGATAAATACCAGATGTGGAGAGGGATGGGTTTGGAGGAAATTGAAAGACACAAAACGACGAGATGACAAGAACCCTCAAAGCATTCCTTTGCCAATTAGTTTTTATCACTTCATCAGATGATCTGACTCTTGCCAGGTATGACACCCAGCTCTTGGAGCTGCGGCAGGTGGCTCAACGGGAGATCGCACAGCTGGAACAGCAGGCGAAGCAGCGCCCGTCTTTGTGAACCAAAAAGGACACATCAATGACCAAATTAGGAAAGAGCGGTCACTGACCATCTCAGAATTTGGGCTAAGATCTGCAAAAGCGATAGGCCCCCCTCAAAAGCGATAACCCGATAACCTTGCTGAATCAAATGTGTTTTGCTATGCGCTTCCCTTGACAGTACGTTTTGGCAGACGCTTGTGTGAAGTCACGAAATACATCAAATTTCACGGCTACTTTCAGCCCGACGTTCAACCTGTAGAACTTTTCACCCGAAAGTCGGGTTTTCAATTTCCAAAAACCGCCCTAATTGAGAACTTTTCAGCCCGACTTTCAGACATCATCCGGCTTTGAAATCATCTCCAACATTTCAGGCAGAGCTGCTGGTTGAGCTGTGGCGAAAGGCTAGACTTTGCGCAAAAACACGATCTGTGATGGCAAAGACTCTGTGAACTCTCTTCTTTGGAAAGTCTAAATCGACGGATCCGCGGCTGGGCCTGCATGGCGCAGGAGGAGCTGGCCAAGTCACAGTTGGCCTCCGAGGAAAGCAAATGTGCTTCGAATTTGTTTTCCTCGTAGTAACAAAGAAGCTACTCGGTGGAGGCCATCGCTACTAGTATCGAAAGGCGCACCGAATGACACCCAAGGCCTCGGCCGTCGGTGCCTTCGACCATGTCTTCGGCGATGCCTTTGACGACCCCCAGCCTTGCAGAGAGCTCAAGACACAAAATGCGCGGATTGATGGGCTCATCGATGACGAAGCATCCTTTGGATTCCTTTGGTATCGAATTTGATTTTAGACATCTGTGTAAGAGGGTATCATCTCGTTGTGCAGTTGATCCCACAAAAGGCTGAACAACAAAAATTCATTGCAACGACAGTGTCACCTCAGTATCTCAGGTTCGAGCTGATACCCATCACGGTTTGTTGCAGGCGCCCGCGCCGCCTGCGCGCTGGTAGGGCGGCGTGTCGGCTTCGCATTGAGTCTGAATTCAATGAAATCTAGAGCGACAGCAATTGTTGGGCACTGGAACTAGTTGCCATCGCTGAGTTCGCAGGCCATCGCTAGTAGGTTGGAGGCCATCGCTAATTATTAGGTTGGAGGCCATCGCAAGTAGGTTGGAGGAGGCCATCGCTAGTAGGTTGGAGGCCATTGCTCTTAGGTTGGAGGCAATCGCTATTAGGCTGGAGGCAATCGCTAGTAGGTTGCAGGCCATCGCAAGTAGGTTGGAGGCCATCGCTAATAGGTTGGAGGCCATTGCTCTTAGGCTGGAGGCAATCGCTATTAGGCTGGAGGCAATCGCTAGTAGGTTGCAGGCCATCGCAAGTAGGTTGGAGGCCATCGCTATGAGGAACTTTGCGTGTTGAGCTGCAGTTGCGAAAGCATGCGAAAGCAAAGTGAGGGATGGACCTTCCATTCAAGCTTCTGGTGTTTCGGATGTTTCTCATCCTTTTTCTGGTGGTGTTCTGTCGTTTTGTGGCTGCGCGGCTTCGCAGCAAGTGTCCAACTTATTTTAATTCTAATAGCTTTTTTGTTACTAGTAGACTACTAGCGTGGCACCTGTTACTAGTGAAGATCTAAGATCCAAGACACTGGGCTCAGTGTCATCCCGGGCTCACTCCAGCTCGCTTGAGGGTGGATCGGTGTATCTTCCACCACGCTCGAACCGGAGCTCCTGGACGTTTGGGGCTGAAAAGAAGACGCAGAGACGCAGACGTCGAACGAAGTCGAACAGAGTCCAACAGTTGAAGTCACGGCAGATGAGATGGAGGTAGTCTTAAAGCTTGTGCCGAGGTACCCAAGACGCCTTGAGGTGCGAATTGGATGAAATATATATATGAAACTCTAAGGGTAAAGTTGGTAAAGCACTTTGAAAAAAAGGATGAAAAGACTTGAAAAGGGGAACGCACATGAAGCATGCACCAAAGGAACGGTGAATCGAATATTCACGACATAACTTTCTAATTTGCTCAGGTAGGTGCTCCATCAGTGCCACAGGCTGCATTGGGGAGTGCAAGTTCAAAGCAAATTGATGAATGCGTTTGAGGGTGTTTTTGTTTTGGCGACATGAACATTCCTTTCTACTGGCCCTTGCTAGGTGATGCTAGGTGTATAATGGTCCATGTATTAAGTCTAATTCATATAATGTCTGAAGAGTCAGTTGAAAAAGAATACTTTGCTGGAATGGCTTTCACATGACACGATTTTCACCGCGTCCTTTGCAGGTGGCGGTCTCGCTGGGCTCTCAGCTCCCCATTATGCTCTTCTTGTGCTCGGGTTTGCTTGGCTCAGGTACACACCATCAGCCGGAAACTCAAGAGTGGCTTCGCAGTGCTTGTTCAATTCCGACTGGTATCTATTTGATTCTACTTGTGCTTGATTCGTGCTTGTAAAGCCTCACTTCTCATTTTGATATATTTTTGACATCAGAACAGGTTGAAAGAATCGAGGGCACATTCTGCGTCACATCGAGGTACTCCGAAGTCCGATACGAGGATATCCAGTACAGGCCACATTCGGAATCGGTGCATGTAAGCTTTCGGTTGTAAATCATGATTTGATTGGCGAATGCAGGGGCCGGTGCAGCTACACAGGCCACTTGGAGATCGATGTTTTATGCTGCTTTTGTTTGAGCAGAGAAAAATTAGCTGTTTTGCTTCGGACCGATGGATGCTCTACGATCTTGAGTTAGAGTCGAGAAAATGTTTCAAAGATTTTCAAAGTCTAAAGTCACACATGTTATTCTTTTGACTTGGAGTGAACTGAGGCCATCATCAGCTTTCCGAAGAATCGAGCCGTAAAAAAGCGAGCCAAAACAGTGAGGACCCAATGCTGGTCTCAAAAATTGTGGATTCATAACGCTTGAAACGTAGGAGGTTTGCAAGGTCGTTTGGTTCTCATGACGCTTGATCGTGGACAACACACCAAAAGCCTACGTCGCATCTCCTTGACTGTGCATGCAGTGGCTCTGCAATAGTTCAGCCCCACGCTGAAGATGGCCAGCCTCGTCCCACAGACAGGAGTCCACCAGGTTGGAAAAGCAATGTGAGTCATTGTGGGTTTGTGGGTTTCATATCATGATTATGATGATGATAATCACGATGACCATGACCATTACCATGATGATGATGATGATGATGGTTCACAAAGGAACCTGTTACTGTTGCTGTTCAAATGATGTTTCACACGAGTCCCACCGGTTCGGGGGCTGCAGAAACCTTCAGGTGGCCGCTGCGCGCGCCGTGTCCAGGCGTGGGAGCCTAGTAGTGTCCGATCGCTCCTAGTAGCGATGCCAGGAGCCCCTAGTAGCTTCTTGTTCCTAGTAGTAAGAATGC